CACAAGAGTTAACATGTTATCCACAATAGTTAACATGTTAGCCATAAGAGTTAACATATAACCACAAGAGTTAACATGTTATCCATAAAAGTTAACATGTTATCCACAAGAGTTAACATGTTAAACACAAGAGTTAACATGCTAAATATTGTGGTTAAAATATTAACTATATGAACTATTAATTATTATTTGTTAACGGTTATTTATAATTTATTAACTATTAATTATTATTTGTTAACTGTTATTTATAAACTGTTAACTATAATGAATTATCTGTTAACTGTTATTCATAAACTGTATGTTAACTATAATTCATGTTTGTCACAAGAGTTAACATGTTATCCACAATAGTTAACATGTTTGCCACAAGAGTTAACATGTTATCCACAATAGTTAACATGTTTGCCACAAGAGTTAACATATAGCCACAAGAGTTAACATGTTATCCATAAGAGTTAACATGTTATCCACAAGAGTTAACATGTTAAACACAAGAGTTAACATGCTAACCACAACAGTTAACTGCACAGAGAACAACATCAAACTCCTTCTCAATTCAACTGGAGCTTACATGACAACAAACAACAGCAGACACAAGAAATCACCATCACAAATTTGTACAACATTATAATATACCACACCTTGAGTTTATTACTTCTTTCTTGATTTTGATATACATCCAAGCCCCAACATGTTGAGATTAGGGGATCCTCACATCTTGAACTGGCCCATAAATACTATAGAAAATAACAAGAACCCAAATCAGTTTTAACCCCAAACAACAATTGTCAACCCATCAAAAAAAAACGAGTCATCAAAATCCACGGAACCCACCGTCGAAAGCCTAAAAAAAGAACTCGGCCAGCCGCCGTTCACCTACCTCTGGTTCATGGGCGACAACGGGGACATCGGCAAGCTGCCCGAGGGGGTACGAAAACCTGGCGGTGGTGGCGGCGGCGAGGCCATTATGGCGGCGTCGAGCTTGTCACTCCGGTCGATCCTCGATTGGCCCATGAACCTGCTCTCATCTCCGGCGAGCATCAGCTCCGTCGTCGCAGCCGCCCTAAAATCAAAACGAGTCATCAAAATCCACGGAACCCATCGTCGAAAGCCTAAGAAAAGAACTCGGTCAGCCGCCGTTCACCTACCTCTGGTTCATGGGTGACAACGAGGACATCAGCAAGCTGCCCAATGGGGTACGGAAATCTAACGGCGGCGGCGAGGCCATGGCGGCGTCGAGCTTGTCCTCGTTGAGGTCGTGGAGGAACCTGCACCTGTTGTCGTTCTTGCAGAACCCCCTAACGAGGTAGAGACAGGGGTGACGGAGGTAGCGGCGGTGTTGGAGGTTTCGAGTGAGGTTAGAGAGAGGGTGGAAGAGGAGATGAGTTTGTAGGAAGAGGAGTAGATCTGGAGAAGAAGAAGAGGGTAGTCTGGAAAATTTTTGTCTTAGAAATTGTAAATGGGGCTGATTCACATGGATTTTTCATTTTTGAGGAAAAAGCACATTAGAAAAAGTTCAAGGGGCTGGGACACATCAACAATTTAGCTTTGGGGCCTTGAAGCAATTTTTCCTTAATATTAATTTATCCCAACTTATTTGCAATATAAGCAATTTGGGATGTACTTTAAAATGATGGATTCGGGAAGCAGTATAACAAAATCCAAATAATAATTATGACGATTTTGCGATAGAATAATTATAATAATTTAGTGACAAAAAATATCTATGAGTGTAATTACACATCTGTAAATAAATTTTACATTTCAAGAGAAAAAGAATAAGAAAAAGAAAAAGAAAATAAATTTTGAGAAGTTCAGAAAAGGAAAATAAAAGTTTGTTCTGGTTTTGGTGGCCGCTGGGTTGACAGAGAATTGTCAACGACTCGCAGGTCAGTGATTTTTCAAGTAAAAAAAACTGGGATATATTTACAGAAATCAGCAGACGAATCTTTTTCCTCTTCTTGAGCCAGAAATGGCCGTTGGATCTTCAAAGAGGAACAAACCGAAGCGACCAAGCTCCGTTCTCTCCTCTCCAATGGCTTTTCCCTCTCCTTCTCAAGCTCGCCATAAGATGTCATCTCGATATAGAAAAAGATACTCTTTTTCTTTTATTCTCATCACTTTCTCTCTCCTTTTTGTCCTCTATGTCAACTGTTGGAAGAAGGCCCCTTTCGTCGAATCCGGTTCGAGATTCTACACTTTTGATATCGTGAATGAGTTCCCGCACGATCCCAATGCCTTCACTCAGGTTTCGTCGATTTCCTTTTTTGGTCGATTTTTTTTTTCTTTTTTTTTCAGATTGAAAATGGAACCCTAGGGTTTTGATCTCTCAGATTGAATGCGTTACACATCATAGGTGAAATTAAGATTTTAGGTGCACTGAAGATGGCCTTAATTTGGGGATATGAGTTTGTATGGGACTTGGGAGTGGTATTACTTTGGATCTATGGCATACTGTGAGGGCCAGTTACCTAGATTGGCTCTTTTGTTAGGCTCCAGTTAGTCGCCACATTGACTGAACGTAAAGTCTTGACTGCTGGATTTCTTAGTAGATTTGGGTTCCTTCCCTCTAAAAACTAGATTTAGAGGTGAGTCCTCCGAGGTTTCTTACGAATAGTTCAAAGTCAATTGTGGCTTTTATTTCCCAAATGAAGATTGTTTCAACACGTATTTGGTGTATTGAAGACAGCCTTATTCAAGAATCTGAGTTTTTATGGACTTAGGATTTTTTTGGATCAACTTGAATCTGTGACATAGAGGATCAATGGCATACATTATCTCTTCTGTGGCATCTCTATCAGTGATAACTTGACTTAGGGAGTCCATGTACTTTGAACATTCCGTCTAAGAAACTTAGCCCTTGTTGGGCTGAATACTTAAATAGGGATGAGCTAAAGGCACTGTTCTAAATGTCGGATGTTGGGGACGTGTAGGATGAAATAATTCCATACCGGATGGTGGATAACGGGGTTATATCGGAGATATTTAATAAATATTGCAGGTGTCATATAGGATAATCTGTGTATGTATCATAGATATTCACACTTTATGCACCAAAGAATGAAGCTGCAATGAAAGATGGTGCTTTCACAAAGCTTTTGCAAAAGAATTTGATCTCAATTGAGCCATAATCCTTGTTTTTGATTATTTACTTCATAATATTTTTGTTTAGGGTTTAGGACTCTATTGAACCATAAATCGAAACCAACCTTTTAAATCAAATAAAAGTATAAATCCACATTGCAACATTGTGGCTGATTTTTTAGGCCAAAATGTCACCTGATATATCGGGAAAATCATGATTTATCTGCCGAAATTGCCAAAAGCGGTAAAGGATATTAAGACTATTATGTTTTATGTCAAGTTGTATAAAAGGATATATTGGCCCACATATCGGCCACGTTGGGATATTTAAAACATTGGCTAAAGGGTTAAAGACATACTTGCATAGTGTATCTACCACCACGAAGAGAACACTTTTGTCTCTGCAATATGATAGTCAAGTAATGAAATCCATGACAATGTCATCCAAAATCTTCTCAGGAAGAAAGAGGCTGCAGAAGTACAAAGAAAGCAACATTCTCTCTCTTATGCCTTTGACATATGCTACAAGTGCAACATTCTCTATCTTTTGCCATTTACATATATTACAGGTTTGAACATGCCTCTTCCAGATCCCTCTTCATACATTTACAGTAAAATTAACCTCTTCAGTCTTCAGTGTACCTAAGGTCCGGACCACTCCTGAATGTCCAATAAGGATTGATTCATGATGTATTCGGGGCAACAGTCTTATCAAAAATTTTGCCTTAGGACTGATTATGATCCTGCTCTTGTAATAACGACTTGTGATATCTGTTGATATTGAAGCTTTCCTCAATGATCTATGAAGCTAACTCTTGAAAATAAGAGTCAATGGCTACTGTCTGTCTGACATATCTAGTAACAGGTCACCCATAACAATGATACTGAGAATAAAGTGAGTTTCGAGCCAAACTCCATACGCACAAATTCTTCATATCTTCTAGATAATCCGCCAACCGCCATATTAGTCTCCCTAGGTTCATATTCAATTCTATAGTTGAATCCATGGAATTTGCCTACCATTTACTTTAGACCACAACATATGTTCTCTATAATAACATTTACTTCAAACTTTGTTGATTTCTCTTCACAACAAATTTCCTATCCTCTGGTATTGGTGCTACTACCGAGTACAACTTATAATAGTTAGGAGTTCCTTGTCATAGGCAGGTAGAGTGAGATTCTTCCTTCAAGACATAACCGAGACAAGCATTAAACCTTTGGTTTTGCTTTAATAGTGCTCCAATACAAACTCCTGAAGGATCACTTTCAATCACAAAAAGTTGGGAGAAATCATGGATTGTCAATGCCTATGTATGTGTTACTCTCTCGTTAAGGGCTACAACGTCTTCTTGGGTTGTTGAAGTCCATGTGAATGCACCTTCCTCTAGCAAGTTTGTAAGAAGTGCATTGACAGTTTCAAAGCCCTTAATAACTTCCTATAGTAGCCAACCAATCCTAGAAATCCTCTCAAAGATTTAAGGGTAGTAGGATAGGCCATATTTTGCATTGCATTTTGGGGTTAAATTGATACACTTGATGCTAGCATTACGTGACATAAGTATTCAACTTGTTTTGAAGAAGGCTACACTTAGGATTTCGTGCCACCAATTGATTCTTCTATAGAATTTAAATAGTTGTTGGAGAGTAGAGAATTTTCAAGCGATATTGCCATCCGAAGGCTTTAATCCAGTATATTATAAAGTAAAGATTAACACAAACTTCTTTAAATAAGACATTGAAGAAATCATTCATTAGGGGAAATATGTCTGGTTCATTTGTCAAAGGGCATGACTACAACTTGGAATACCCTCTTATTCCTAAAGGCTACTTTAGGGATATTCATTTCATGATCCTTGTTCAGTGATAACCCGATTTAATATTCAACTTAGAGAAATAATCAATTCCATGCAATGCATTCATCACTTTGTCAATAACTTAGAGAAGTACTAAGCCTCCTCAACCTTCACCCACCGATTCGCTGCTAGGGTGCGGGGGTGTTGCGCCCCCTCAGGACCTTTGCAGTCAAGGTGCAATGCTGTATCTGTGCATTGGGTTCCCGTGCTATAAATTCTCCATGTAAATCAACCTTGACAAACAACAAGGTCTATATTGTTTGACAAATACAAGTGTTAAACTTTAAATCTGTCTGCCCATGGAATCACAAGTTCTAAAAAGAGATAGTTGATAGGCTCTTTAAGTAAATGTTCGGTTATTTTGATTCGGTAGTCCATTTCGCAATAAATGAATATTTTAGTATTCGGTTCATAAACGAATAGAATTTAATAAGATGTATATTCTACTCATTTGATTGTTAATTATTCATGTATGTTTTACATTTATTACAAACTCTACCCATCCTATAAATTTGTACTGAGATATATCATGCCCACATATAGCAGCGACATATTATCTTTTAAAATTATATTTTAGTAAAATTTAACAATAATTTTTAGTAAAATATTGTAATGTCAAAATAAAATGCAAAGACATGCCCAAAGATTCGAACCTGAGAATCTCTAGGTTAGGACCTTTTTGCTCCGACACCTGTCCTAAAGGGATATTTGTGAAGAATTATCAAGTACAATAATATATAAACAAATCAAAATCCGAATATGGGTTTGTTATTGTAATCAAATTTGCACCGAATTTGAATATCCCAAATACACTCGAATTCGAATCCGAATACATCAATGTTTGATTGGATTTGATTTGTTTCCACCCCTACCCATGGGTATTAAAAGTTAATCACATAAACTTTTAGAGAACACAATTGGACCAAGAAACCCTCACTTTCTTCCTAATGGCTTTCTTATTCCTGTCATCTACTATCTTGGGATTCTTAGTGAGTGATTTCATGCAAAATCGTCCCATTTTCTTCAAAGTAAAACTTAACCTATTTGAAATTGGGTATGATAATTTTAAAAGGTTCTATCTAGTGAGCCCCAAGGCTTATTTGGCTATCCTCGTGGGCAAGACAAGAAAATCATTTTAGGACTTTAAATTGCAAAGCATCAATCACCTTCTCTACAGTTTAATGTTTTGAAAATTTTATACGATATTATGATGAAAAGATGTGTGATTAACAAGCTTAAATTGATTGTTTGTAATTTTCTACTATAAAATGGATGCAATAACCACTATGAATGTCAATAGTTGCGTTAAAGGATAAGGACTGTAGTATAATAGCTGAGGATAATTCAACGTAGTAATCTTCTTACGTAGTGGCTTTTCTCATTATGAATTTACTTAGTTCAGTGATTAAATAAATGACTTGCTTTTATTTCTTTTAGATAATGTATTGTTGTAATTTTTCAATCTCAGGGGCTCTTATATGGAGGAAACGATACATTATTTGAGTCAACTGGTCTTTATGGGAGGGTGAGTAGTATGCCTTTTCTAAATTATTATGTACGTCTATATAATATCTAAACATGAGAGCCGCTCATGAAGTTACGTACTATGCAGTTAATTATAATAAAGTCTATCATTTTTACATCTTTAGGTCATGTATTTCGTTATTTTTCTCCTTTTTATCATTACTTACTACTAAAATGCTAATCTTCTATTTTATCCTTGTGTTTATTCAGTCTTCAGTCAGACAAGTTCTTCTCCACACCGGGAAGGTAACTCTAACATATGTATACTTTTGATGTAATTCACTACTTGTTCCTATTTTTCCAATAGCAACTAATATTGTTCACATTACCATGTAGAATTCACCTACAATTACTAGTGGGTATTATGTACATGTTGTGGAATTTCCTATGGTTCTGTGGATCCAACATACTTCGTAGCTGTTTATGTCAAGTAGTTAATCTCGAGATTGAGTAGGGATTAATAGGGAATTAGTGGTCCCTTTATCTTTTTTGATGTCTGATCAACTTGGAAAAGGCAGATCCCTGTACAAATAGCAAACATTAGAGGCCCCAAAGGAGAATTCCTCCAGCGTGCCCTCGAACGCTCAAGTTAGTGACTAATCAAATTTATGTAAAGAATATTAGATTGGGTTGTCCGGTTCAGAGAGTTTAGACCTTAAATGGCGAAGATCTCCTTTGTTTTATATGGGGTATCGAGGGTAGATTGGTAACTTGATTCAACCAGCGGAAATGATACTTCATTTGTGCTTTACCTTTCGTCAACGATTGATTGGGCGATTCTGTGAGTGCGGTCCATACCATATTTAATGTGGTAGTGACAGAACGATGTGGTAAAAGCGTTGTCCAAGGAGTCATTATCACATCTGGATTGCATTTAATACGATGGTGATTGGGCGACGGAGTATGAGTGACGCCCGAGGAGTTAGCATCATGCTTGCTCGTGTATTAAATGCGGACGAGGCGGTCGGACACCTACTTGACTTATTACATGTGCTCCCTGGTAGGGTTCGACCCGAGGAGGCCGTCCGATTCAGACTGGGATTATTGGAAGGGTCGGAAAATTTAGTCGGATTACGGCTATTCTGGGATGGCTCTCTAGTCATATGACCCGACCCTCTTGACACATGGCCAGTTCCTAGGGGTTTATTAAATTCACTATTTCTTGGGTACAATTGTAGCGAAAAGAACTTAAGTCACTAACAAACATAGCTAGTCACATAAAGATAGACTGATCGACTGCAAACAACCCCATATAATTCTTATGCATGGTGTTTTTCTTTGTCTTGTTGCTCCAATGTAAAATTCCAGCCACTAAAAAAATATTATTCCAAATAATTATCAGTTTTCAGTATTTTGCGGTATTCGGTTGTCAACGTGCCTTGCTCCCGATCATCCTAAAGAGACTTCGCTGCCATGTTTCATATGTGAAGGAAAATGTATACTAAATTCTCTATTTCACATGAGTGAGCATGTACTATTTCAATAATAGAATTGAGGACTAGATCCTGCACTAACATTTTGCTGTACGTATCTGAAGATTCTGAACAGCAAATATGCTTAAATATGCTCCGTCTGTACTTTAGACATCAGATTTGTCTCTAACAAAATGGTGGAAGATGGAGTAGCATACTAGTTTTTACTAGCTTGTGAGTTGGATTTAGGTCGTAAATGAGTGAAATATTTGCATAAATTTGAACTAACATAATATAGAGAAATTTTACATTTTATTTGATTCCTCTTCTGATATAAATGTCTTTTTGAGTGCTAAGTTTTAAGTGTTAACTTTTGGGAGGCATGCTATACTGTTTTATTGCTACGTCATATGTTGGCATATGCAACGCTAGTATTTGTCTGCTCAATAATCATCAAACTCAAAGACCCAAGCTTATGAATTGCAAACGAATCTTGATATGTATATAGTATGTACACATGCTCACATAATTGAACCAAGGAAAACCCTTAGAAATTTAATTATTGAACAACTACCATAAAAATTTATTAACATGTGCACCTTCAGAAGTCTGAATATTGACTAAAAATATTTACGTTTCTATGCCAGAACTCTAACAAATAAATGCCAAACATGACATATTGACATCTAATTTATCAACGTTCTACACTATTCTTTAGCAAGTATTAATTAGGATGCCTTGAAATGCCTCTTCCTTTAAGATACCATGAGTATGAATTATATCGTTAAAAACTATAGGAATTTTTGGTTCGAATTAAAAAAAGTTTGGACTTACACGTTTCTACAAGATTTCTTTATTTTTGTCTATTTGTTCTTAGTTTTATATTTGTAATGAATTGCTGAACATTACTAATTAGTAGCCCACTTTTAGGACCTTGCGTTGTAATTCAATTTTTTCTTTTTCGTCTATATTATTAATTATTAATTTTATAAGCTCTTTGTTTGCTCATTTCTTTTTTTACCTTTTCACTATGTGTTACAGTCTTAATTTCAATGCAGACTAATAATTAATATTTTCTTAATAGCGATGATCATTGGAATAAAACTGCTTATGATTTATATCTGCCTCTGAAGGGGAATTTCCTATTTGTGTTTTTAATCATATTACAGGTCCTGGTTAATCATCAAATGGGCAGTTCTCAATTTGGGGAAGGTCTTACTCTCTTAGGTGAAAGGTGGGTGTAAATAATCGCTTATTCACCTTTCCCTGCTTAATTCTAACTAGTATGCAAATACGTGCGTTGCACATGATGCATGTTAAAAGACTATTTGAGATGAAGCGTTTATGGCCAATTAATATTTCACACATCCAGCTTATCACTATACTATTTATTAGGCACATTCTTCACATAGAGCAGATGCTAAACTACACATTGCTTTATGTTTTGAATTTCTTGCTTGGTCATGAGCAAGGTTTGGGTTCATGAAGGCTCAGAAGAAGTAGCTAATATGTAACCACTATCACAACATAAGATTGAAAGTCCAGTCATTATGAATCATCTCATAGCCTTAAATGCTTCAACTCTTACAAGTTGACTTCATGAACAAATGGTCTAGACACAATAGACATGACCATGAGGCAGTTAGTAATCAATGCTAGTGTAGGAAAAAACTAACAAGAGGGTAATCAATTCTAGTGTAGGAAAGAACTAAACAAGAGAGAGAAGGGATGAATCTTGGGAAAATGGGATATCTGAAGAAAAAAAAAACCAGGTAACGGAGATTGTAATTTACAAAATATTTGGACTTAAACTACTAATTTTCCTAGAAGAAATAATATCAAATACCAGAGGTCAAACATGTGTGCGCTCAGGCACACATACAAAGAGAGAATAATGTGTATATATAAACTATTTCTTGGCACCTCATTTAGCAAAATGAGCTAATAGTCTATATACTAAACAAAACTCATAAACAAATATGTAATTTGGCACGTGCGACGTTTTTGTTCCATCATCAATTTAAGAAACTGTGAGAAGCAAATAGGAGACACATATATCAACCATCAATATACCCTAACATCATTTATCTATTCGTTGAATTATCCAACATAGTCATATTGATAATTAGATATAATACTGTAATTGAATTCCAAGTCAAAACATTAACAGACTACCACAATAATACATTAGCAGAATTCAAGAGTAGCACATGACATTTTCGAAAACCATGAACATACACGAAATCAAATTGAACCAGGCCTTCTCCTCCATAGTGACTTGTAAAAGCACCAAAAATATTCAGCTCGCAACCATTTATGAAGTATTAAAGTGTTTGGCAGTATAGTATAAAATAATGAACAGACCACACCAAAAGTAACATAAACCCAATTAATATTTGACAATTAGAAAATAAAATAAAATAGTAATAACAAACATCATTAATGTATATATTCTGTATTACACCAGTAATCATAAAAGATAAAACTAAGGAAGAACTATGTCCAGATATATAGGAGATTGTATATCTTTAAGTGAAAGGACAATAAGTTACAACCCAAATACACTATCACTGAGTCAACTTATAGAACTCTGAGTGGATAAAGCAACAATCAAATTTTCGTGAGCAGCTGCCACAATAGTAGCAGTAACAAAATAATACCCTAAATTACCTGTTCAAGATATTAATTTTTACTATTAAAATACCTATAGTACAGATGTCAGTAATGCAGCCCAAACGCCAGCCACAAGTTACATTAGTAGACCACACGTAAATGGACCAGACACCAACAAAATATCTCCAAGCAACAAACAACAACAAAAACACTAATGAAACAGAAACTCCATGGGTTCCATATCTCAAAATTGATGCCAAAACTAATCAAAGGTCAAAGAATCTAGGATCTTAAAAGAACTACATATGAAATAGGAAATAATAATTTTAAAAAATTGAAAGAATCAATTCAATACTTATATCTGCAATGAAGAAAATCATTTCCTTTGCTCCATCAAAATTCAGCCAAAAAGCAATTTATAGAACTATTAAACCTTCTAAATTTAATACTTCATTATTTTGGAGTTGAGAGAGGTGGGAAACTAAAAAGTCATTGCAATTAGTAGCAGTTATATATATTGACTAAGTTGTGGGTTAAGGGATCTCAAGGAGCATGTATTTTGAGAGACGTTGCAAAAGGGGATTTGATCAGATTGTTCGAGAGAGTCCAGATTTTTATTGAGAAAATAAATTAGAGAGAGAGAGATGGCAGTTTTGAGAGAGAGAGAAATAGCGATTAAGTGGGGGTGGGGGAGAATGGAGTCGGTAGTTCTTTTGAGAGAGAGAGAGAGAGAGAGAGAGAGAGAGATTTTAAGAGGAGAGAGAGAAAGAGGGTTTATGTGAGAGCATTTAATTTTTATTAAAATCGGTAAAAAATTAAAATTAGGAATTATCTAAATTAAGAATGAAAATTTAAAGGAGTAAAATAGGCATTTAAAAGTTTTGACGCTCATTCTCTCTGTTATAAGTAGTATAGATGGTTCGGGGCCAATTAATGCTAGAAACTTATTATTATTCAACCTCTGTAATTCTGATGGTTGATTACCCCTTTTTTCCCCCTCTTTTGGTGCTTATTATCTCCATTTAGCCAGTTTTTACATGAATATTCATATACAAGTTGTTTAAAATTCACGCAACGGCTCAGAGTTGACGGTACAAGGATGCATAGTGTATATAAACAGTATATGGTGGTCAAGGCCATTGTACAAAATAAAAAAATTCAGTTGATTGTTGTTACTTTAAGCAATATCACGAACTTCAATTTGCAAACACTTCCAAAATTTTGGGTTAACTATACGACCTTCTAATAGTCGACCTTCATTTTTTTTTCTTTTTTGTAGGATATCAACTGATATGAGACTGATAGGTTTAGATTTGTTATTATACTTGTTAACGTGCAGATGGTCCTAAAATTTCTAGACAGCAATACATGAAACTCTAATAATATTTTGGTCACATCCTAAAGGATTTCTGAGATACTTCTGAATGAAACATAATAGCATGGACCATGGTGCTTATATTAAATGTGTATGCTACAAAGGACTCCATCCACACAAGGTGAGAGTTCCTAAAAGGTCCTCGTGGAGGCTAGATGCATTAGAACTTAGAAGGAAGCCGAAGTATCTGTTTAGCTGGAGTTAAATGTGTTAGAAATATCTCAAGAAGTTTGTGTATAAAGGAGGGGAATTTTTTGAACTAACTATATGTAAGTCTGAAGAAGCCTAATATTAGGTGTGACTTATTTACATCACCTGTTGAGTATGTCTAATGAAAAGGTTACTGTTAATCTCTTTACTCATTTTCCTCAAATATCTAAATGGAAAACCCTCTTGTTCCTAAAAGTTGTCTAACAAATCAGATCTGCAATTGCGCTCGCCTTTGAGCATTCAACTATAGATGGCTGTTGTGGCTGCTTATAGTGATTCGATGTTGAACCCAAAATAGCACCCAATTACTGTTGTTTAGATTACTAATATTTTAGTACATCAGTAACTATATGTTTTGAAATACAAACATTTTCAAGTCTCAAAGTTATGATAGCATTACCGAGAACCAACTAGAAAAGCTAATGTTGAATAGTGATGGAACAAAATTCAATATGTAAAATGCAAACAGCTTCTACATATTATATTTTTGCATTCTTCTGTATGGTTTTAATCCATGATTTTGAGTGGTATTTGTTTGAGGATTGTGTAGGAATAACTAGTAATTGATATTGAATTTTTTTTTCTTTGTAGGTTGTTTCAAGTAACTTGGTTGAAGAAAACTGGTTTCATTTATGACCGATATGATTTTAGCAAAGTTTGTGCTTCAGCCACATAATTTACTCTATTATTGAAATGCTTTTATAGTTAGATAGTATCTTTTATTACAATCATGCTTAAATACTTGAACAAGCTTAGGTTTGTCACATGCAGCCACTCCATTATCAGCTTCCATTTTCTTTGATAGTACTTCCTTGAGACACAGTCTTTCTGTTTGTAGTGCTTTTTCAAGCTTGGGGTCATTCATCAAAGATTCTAATCTTGGTGAGGCTCTCTTTTTTATTCGTGAGATGCCATTTCATTTAAAAAAAAGCATAGCTATGACCATTAGCACACTCCTTTTTTCTATTGTTCGTGTAAATAGAATTTGGAGAATTTTTTGAAAGAGACCTTTTTTGATAAATATTTAGCAAAAACGATCGTTTTGCTAAATATTTAGCAAAATCGACCTCTTTTGGCCAGCTCATTAGGGTTGGCCAAAAAGAGGTCGATTTTGCAAAATATGAGTTTCAAAACATAGAGGAGTACCAGTCCTGTGTGTTTAGTGGTCGCTAATCGTGGCCTAAACAAGACTTACAAAACTCACAGGACTAGTAGTCCTGTGGGTTTTCTGCATAGTAACAAAAGACCGCTCACTCTTCCTTCTTCTTCTTCCCAATAAAGCCATTACCCCCTCCCCCTCCATCCCTTCCTCACCCCCCTTCCCTCTCCTCCTCCACATCCTCCCCCCCCCCCCTCCCCTCCCTCCTTCCTCTTCTTCCCCTCCCCTTCCCCCTCCTTTGCCATCCTCTTCCTCCTCTTCTCCGTCAAGAACCTATCCTCCGAGCAGTTCCTCGCTGATGCCTCGATCGGCGTGTTGTAGCTTTGGTCTCTCCTGAGCCCCTTCCCCACGTATGCTCCCTCCACCCCCATCCTCCTATAGCTTCCCTCCGCTCCGGCCGCTTCTTTATTCTCTAACTTCCTCCCCCTTTGTCGTCCTCGTATTCGACGTCACCATCAACGCCTGGGCGGCGGTTCCTCCGCTCCCTGAGCTTGACCGTCGTGAACCAGGAGCTGGTCATGGTGGCAGCGGGCGGGAAGAGGAAGCTGCAGGTGGAGTGTTAGGGTGTGGAGCTGCAGGTGCTCTAAATCCAATACCTTATTCAGCCCCCTCCCCAATCTAGCCGTCACCCTCCCTCCTTTGCTAGTAACAAAAACCCATGGGACTACTAGTCCCGTGGGTTTTGTGAGTCTTGTTTAGGCCGTGATTAGCGACCACTAAACACACTGGATTAGTAGTCCCATGTGTAAGCTGGCCAAAAAGAGGTTGATTTTACTATATATTTAGCGAAACTGTCGTTTTTGCTAAATATTTATCAAGTTGGGCCTCTTTCAAAAAATTCTTCATAGAATTCTTAAATCCTTTAACTTTCACAATTATGGGGCCTTAAAAACGTTTCAGTGCTTGATAACTGTGGGTATAACTTTGATTTTGGTTTCATGTAATCATACTGGTCATAAAGTTGTTACGCATGCAACCAAAACATGAGAGGCAAAATGTAATTAGTAGGCAAAGCTGTAAGTACATGGCAAATAATTCCAGATGACTGGACGGTCTCTAGGATATAAAACACTTGGTTATATGAGCATTAATTTGCATGGGAAGAATAAAGAGTAAAGATGGTTCTAGTTATCCCAAATGTGAATAATTTTTTAACTTTTAAACATCCTGACCATGAATGTTTAATGAAAAGGTTTTCTCTTCTTCATACTTGGCTCCAGCTAGGATTCTAACACCAATCTGTGGAGGATAAACATCAGTTTGATGTCCAGTTCTAAATGTCAGGTATTCTTGTGAAGGTTATATGGGAAAATGTTTGGATGGTGATGCTACTGAATAGAATACTCAAGTACAATGGAAGATATTTCTTTTGGTAGCCGAAAGAGGATGCATAACCTCATATTGGTCGATTAAGAAATGGTTTTCTTATGTAGTATTGTTCTTTTCTTGTTGATTTTTTAGCCTGGAGATTTTGTTGACCTCCCTGCCCCTGAAAATGAAAAACATAATGAAAGAAAAAGAAAAAATGAAGAGGAAAAAAGGTCTCCGTATCCCACCCCATCCCGATCTCCATGGACAATATTCCTATTGAATTCAAAACCTAAAAGCCCCTAATCCTTCAATAATTTTGAAACTTCACAATGATTTATGAAATTGACAGAGGATTAAACCAATGGTTTGCCTTAAAATTGGAAGTAACTTTTACATGATAATGTGAAAAATGGTAGATTATAAGCGTAAGCA